GAAGGCTTCCAGGAACTTAGGAACCTCCGGCTGAGTCCTGCTGGGGATGTGCCAGGTGAGGGGATGGAGGCACGAAGGAGGGAAGGCGGGGTGTTTCTTCTGCGCAGAACAAGCAGTGCAGGCAAGGGCCCCTACGCAGATCAGGTCTGGGAAGAAGTCCAGGGTGCCAGGGGCCAAGCTCACGGAAGGAGGTAGGAGGTGAGACTGGAGCACGAAGGCCTCGGGAGGAGTATGTGGGGTGGAGGCTTTATCCGGGGAAGCCCTTCACGGTCCTCATTGGAGGATGACGGATCAGGTCTGTACTGTGGACACACCCCTCTGGCTGCAGAAAGGCAGTGAGTTGGGGGTGAAAGTCCTCAAGGTACAGGCCTCCGTCACAAGGCCGCTGTAGCGATCCAGGGGGCAGACACTGAAGGTCAGAACGAAGGGAGCAGCAGTGGGGAGGGCAGGAGAATCGACAGGCCTGGGAGGGGGGGGTCTGTGAGATGCATGAGGAGTGGGGTGGACTGGGCTTCCGGGAGGATTCACTCTGACGGGGCAGGTGACGGAGAACAAGTCTGCGCGGAGACGGAGCAGAGGAGCCCGGTGTGGTTCAAGCTGCCCTGGAGCTGCCCGTGGGACAGCCAGGTTCTGACTTGACAGGCAGAGGGCCATACAGGCCCGGTGCTCAACAGTGAGAGGTGTGGACGTTATTTGCTAGAGAGAGTAAATATAACAACAGCTAACAGGTCGAGTCCTCACCTGTGCTAAGCACTACACTAAGCTCTTCACATGCATCATTTAATTTATTCCTCACAACCAATTTATGCAGAATGTGTAGCCCAATGATTAAAAGCTCAATGATATTTATAACAGCCAAGACATGGAAACAACCTAAATGTCCACTGACAGATGACTGGATAAAGAAGTTGTGGTATATTTATACAATGGAATACTACTCAGCCATAAAAATAATAAAATAATGCCATCTGGAGCAACATGGATGGACCTGAAGATTGTAATTCTAAGTGAAGCCAGAAAGATAAAGAAAAATACCATATGATATCACTCATATGCAGAACCTAAAAAAAAAAAAAGTTAACTTATTTACAAAACAGAGATAGACTCACAGACATAGAAAACAAACTTATGGTTACTAGGGGGAAAAGAAGTGAGAAGGGAAAAATTAGGAGTTTGAGATTTGAGATACTAACTACTATATATATACATAGATAAATTTATACCATTTGGCACAGGGAACTATACTCAGTTATCTTATAGTAACCTATAACGAAAAAGAATATGAAAACAAATATATGTATTTGTATGACTAAAACATTACGCTGTACACCATAAATTGACGCAACATTGTAAACTGACTGTGCTTAAAAAAAAAGCCCAGTGATTGACAGCTGTTAATTTCTTAAAGTTAACATGTACATGATACAATCTTGTAATTTCCTACATATTTATCCAAGAGAAATGAAAACATGTTAACAAAAGTCTTTGTACAAGAAGTGTTCACAGCAGCTCTGTTCATATTATCTAAAACTGGAAACAGCATCCATCTGTAAATAAGTGGATTAAAAAATCATAGTATATTAATACAATGGAATATTTGCTCAGTGAGAAAAGGGATCAACCTGATATACACAAGATAAATTTTTAAAACATGCTAAGTAAACGAGGCTGACACAAGAACATACATACCACGTAATTTCATGTATGTTAAGTTGTAGAACAGGCAAATCTATGGTGACAGCAAGCTACAGAAAATGGATCCATGGTTGTTTTTGGAATCAGATCAGGGGACTGACTGGGAAGTAGCAAAATGGAACTTTAGGGGGTGATGAAAACACTCCCCATGTTGATGGGGTGTGGGTTAGTGGTTGTATGCATTTGTCAAAACTGACCCAACTATACTGGACTGTTACACGACTATTTAAGATCTGTGCATTTCACTGTATATAAGTTATCCCTCAACTAAGAAAAACATTTGAATAACAAAGCAAAACAAAAACAACCAAAAGAATGAGCAAAAAAAAAAAGAAAAAAAAACCAATTTTGGATTCTTAAGGTGAAAAAAGACATACCTGACCTGATTTTCCTTACATGTGCCCTAGAGCAGAGTTTCTCAAACTTGGCACCACTGACATTTTAAGCTGGACAGTTCTTTGTTAAGGGGCCTGTTGTCCGCATTATAGGATATTCTGAGGCTCCTTGGCCAATTTGGGGGCAAAGTTGCTCCCCTCCCCCACCATTAAGAACTGACTTTCCAAAAAGTTAAAAGTATGCACACACATATATATACAAGCCCACATACATAAGTTTACTATAAATTTTACTATGCAGCACACAATTTACAAATAAAATATACAGTCATCTTTACTTCAAATTCCACTCAGTCTCTTGTTCTTCCTTTGATTTTTGCCCAACTCTTAGATCCACAGTCACGCTGTCCCTGCTTTCCTGAAGGAGTGTTAATTTTGACGTGAATGATGTTTTCAAGTGAAGGACTAAGGCCAGAGTGAAACCACACAGACAAATTTCAGAACTTCACTCATCTGTCAAATACATGAGTGACTTCTTTGCTGGATCAGATAATAGTTCTCGAATACTGGAGAATCTTTCCTCAACTTCTTGTTCTATTCACAATATAATGGCTACAAACAGCATACTTTTAAGTTTAATGTGCATTATTAACATTTTCTCTGCCTAAGGCTAGATAATCAACAAAACAAGTCGAGCCCGGCTTTGTAGTGTTTGTTGATTTCCATGGTCTAAAAACTGCCACCATGGTTGATTTCGAACTACCAATGTGATGTCACTGGACATGAGTTAGAGAGAGATGCCTGCAGCACCACCATGTAGTATTTCCATGTATGGACAGAGTAGACCAGGGTGACCAGCTTTCCTGGTTTGTACAAAACTGTTCCTGTGTTAGCGCTAAGGAAATGCCTCGGTCCTGAGCAAATTGGGACAGGTGGTTGTCCTAGGACAGACATCAATAGCCTCAATTGCTAAGGACTGAACAGGTGGGAAAGGAAGTAAAGATGGAACGGAGTATATAGGACAGTAAAAGGGTCAACTGTCCTGTGCTGAGAGCCAAAAACAAGAGAAGTGTAAGGCAAGTGTGAGAAAAGTTCTAGAGATACCAAGTTGGACACAGAAAGATGGCAGAGTTCATGACTGCCCAGGCACTGCAGTGTGATGTGATAACACAGTCCAGTGTGATTATGCAAGTGGGTGTCTTAAGTGGAAAGGAGACAAGGGTCTTGTATACAGACAGCCAAGGACCTGGGAGCCTGGCGTGTTGGCTGGTTTTTCCTCGTGAATACTGTGGTGACCAGCATGATGGCAAACTCCTGCCAAAGTGATAGTTACATTTTCTATAGTTACTTTAAGCTGAACCACTGAGGAGTTACAATACTGTCCCTGTATTTGCAAAACTGTTATTATCCTTTCCCGGGGCGGTGGGGGGACTTCTCCTTAGAAAAAAAGTGTAGATTACATATGCTATTTCCCCATGCCTTACTAATTTGAAATAATAAATCACTTGCTAGGCTCCACAAACCTCTCCTGAACCAACCTGGGCTGAATCCATTCAGATCACACTTTTCAAAGAAGAAAAAGGGAGGTGGATGTTTCAACTGGGTGAAAGATGGCTGTGATCTAGGTGAACCTACATGGCCTTAGCCAAGACAGAGGTTTCTTGTTTTGTTTTGTTTTGTTTTTCCCCCAGTGCAATGATGGCCATTTGATCAAATCTGGAAGCCAGTGGCACACTATAGGTTTGCTGTCCAATTCTGTTCTTTGTAAAATGGTAACAATTTCACTTGCCCCCCCCTTTCTCCCTCAGTGGGTGTTAGGACCCTCACAGATACATAAAAAGTGCTCTGGAAAGGATAAAACACTCTAAAATGATTATCACAGTTATTCACCTTGGCAAATAAAATCTAACAAGCTTTTTGAAGAGGTTAAAAACATAGTAGCATGTCTGTAATCTACATTATAGACATTTACCATGTTACTGAATAAGGACTATTTGAGAAATAATTAGAATCTGGAGAAACTGAATCTTGAAATCAACCAAGTTAGTAAAAAAATCTTGAATACCTATTTAACAAAGGAATAAAAGCAGCAAACGAAAAGGTCATATTGTAATCCCCAGTAAAAATCATAAGGCTCTGAATAACTTACCCTGTAGTCAAATTAATCTTTCAAATGACAAAATTAACCTTTATAAATGCACTTCTATTAGTTGGGGGATTACTGTAGTACACAGTAACAGTGCGACACCAATCAAATCGCCCTAATTCTAGAAGAAGGTATGCCCTCCACAGGCCACCTTAAATAGGGTATCGCCTGCTTTAACTGGCAAGTATGTCACACATTTAGTAAAGATAAAAAAGTTCTATTATCCGTGACCTGCGTACGCTGACAAGTCTGAGAGTCAGACTGGGATACGAAATCCTGAATCTTCAGCCAGTGATAAGCTACTAACACGGCATCCAAGACAATCATTACTAAGGAAGAAGAGTCTGGTAGTAATTAGTGTTCTTCACCAACAGCCCTCCTCTCCTCCTTCCAGACAAGCAGCAGGACGGGCCTCCCCTGTCCCTCTGAATCAGGCACGGCTGAGTAACTTGCCATGCTGTAACAGCCTGGGAGGGTAAGTCATATGTCACTTCTGGAAGGAAGCACTTAAGACCAATGTACTATTTGTCATGTCCCCTTGATCCTCCCGTGCTGACCAACCATGTTCCACACAATGGAGGCTCTGTCAACCCAGGTCCCTGAGTAAGAAGGACATGGCACGGAGACCCTCCGACTTGAGATGGTGATGCACCAGAAGCTAGAAATAAAGCTTTGCTGTTTTGCACTGCTAAGAAGGAGGGGAGGGTGGTATTTGTCACCACAGCATAACCTAACCTGACTGATATAAAGAGTGATCTAGACACAGGTCCCACAGGCAATTCTATACCTTTGGTTTTGGTTACAGTGTAACCACTCCTGGTTACTTTTTTTTTTTGTAATTTTTCCTATTGCTGCTGTAACAAATTAGCACAAATTTAGTGGCTTAAAACAAGATAAATTTATTCTCTTATAGTTCAGGACGTCACAAGTCTAAAGTGGGTTGGCAACACTGCGTTCCTTATGGAAATTCTAGGGGAGAGTCTGCTGCTTTGCCTTTTCCAGTTTCTGGAGACTGCCAGCACACTTCTCGGATCATGGTTCCATCTTCAAAGCCAAGAGTGGAGCATCGGCCAACCTTTGCCTCTCTGCTTCGACTGTCACATTGCTCTTTCTCCTCTTCCTCTCCTGCCTTCCTCTTCTAAGGATCCCTGCCATGACTCTGGGCCCACTCAGATAATCCAGAATAAGTTTCCCATCCGGAAACCCTTAACTTCATCACATCTGCCAAGTCCCTTTTACCATATAAGGTAAAGCGTTCAGGGGCTCTCAGGACCAGGACGTGGACATCTCTGGGGGGAGGGCATTATTCTGTCGACCATATCCACCTACCACACCCACCTTCTGTCAACTCTAAACAGCCACGCAGAGACGTGATGAAGACCCTGGCTCAAGTGCTGTGTAGACTGACGAGATGACTAAAATGCTCTCATTATTAAAAATAAACTGTTCTCCTGATACGCCAGAGCAGTGGGAAGTAAGTAGCCTGAAATTCACTGCTTATTTCACACTGAAAGGAAGGAAAGAATGATTATACTAAGGGTAACAGTGAAATCACAGAGCCTGCATGATTTCCAAATGACTAGAGGTCAAGAGAAAAACACTCCTCTCTCTTCTGGTAGATTTTATATGACAAAAGTGGATTCATTCTGTTTTTCAGGATTGAGTCTTTGTTACCAACCCATGGAGCTTCAACCCACAACCATGAGATAAAGCCTTAAGATAACAATTCACTTAAATCACTAAAATAGGTGATTTTTAGCTCTTGAGAGAAAACAGTTCCTTCAGTCTGTGCCCAGAGGAGATAACGCTTTTTACCACAAGGGGGAGTTTTAGTCCATGGATAAATGGAACATCAAAGGGAAAGAGAAACGTAAAAGTTTGCTGGTGTAACTTCCCCTTAAAGAAATATTAAGATTTGGAGGTTACGGCCGTGTACTCTGCTTTCTTTAGCTCAAGCATCACTGCTGCATCCTGGAACGTCTCTGGAGAAAAGTAACGCAGCCTCCTTTTGATGGGAATAGTTTCAGGGAGTCTTCATGGGAAGACACAAGTCATTTTTTAGCACCTTGGAAGCTGGGACTAACACAATAGGAAGAATGGATTTTTAAACAATGATCTGCATTCAAATCCCAGATCTGTCACTTTCAGGCAAGTTTCAACTTCTCTGAGCCCCAATTTCTGCACTTGTACAAATGGGGATCACATTACTGATTCTGTGGGATTGTCACCAGGATTAAATGAGAGGAAGGTAAAGCACACAGCACAGAGCCTAGGAGATTCTCGGTGCCAACAGTAACCATTATATTAGTGGAACTGGAATCAAAGAGCCTGACTGTGGCAATTCAGCTCATTAAGTAACTTTAAATTCTACCTATGATGAAGCAATGGGGAAAAAAGTTAAAAGCTGCCTATACAACCTCAGTCATGCCTCCCTCCCTCGTGACGGTTTCTCTGCTTTGAGCCTCTAATAAAGAGCCCTTGGAGTTTGTATAGTTTCGTTCCAAATGAATTAAAACTACACAGATGCTGGTCTGTGTCCATTTACACCTATTTTTAAAGTAAAGCTTCTCCCAGACAAGTCTCACCTTACACTTCCTCTGTAAAATGGTATTTTTTGTGCAGTGGGCTGTTCAAGTAAGTTTTATAGACTGAGGACCTACCAGTTATCAAGAGGAAATAACACAGCATAATAACGAAAAGTAGCTGAGTTGAGAATGATTATTTCCCTGTCACAGCTAACCTGGTGGAAAAAAGCAATTATAATGCGAAGAGCTTGGGTAACTGGAGAAATAAATACTCAGTGGTGTTCTGTACAATTTGTACTGTCGAGTGGCAGGCACCTACCCTCACCTGGTGTCTAAAAAGTCAGGGAAAATCACTCTGGCATCTAGACGTGGTGCTAGAAATGGATGTTCCTAACAGGAGCCTGAAGGAGGGGGCACGAACGCCTGGCCACTCTTCCTGTCCACCCAGTTTGCCGTGCGGAGGGAGGGATTCAGAACCCCTGTGAGTGAGAGGACGACACCCCCAGGTTAGATGGGTGACCGAACCCAGAAGGCTTTCTTTGAAATCACAGAATCAAATCCTATGACTTCTTTAAAAAGGTCTGAGCAAAACTAATCCTTAGTGTGAAAAAATCAGAACACAGATTATCTGTAAGTAGGGCGATGGGGCAAGGAGCTTAAGGAAAGCTTCTGGGATGACGGCCTCTTCTGTATCTTGATAGGGGCCTGGGTTACATGGGGCATGCATCTGTCAAAACCACTGAGTGGTATAATTAAGATTGTTCCATTTTACTGTATATATATTTTACAAAAGAAGAAAAAAGAAGAGAAAGGCCCAGAGGGTCAGAGTCTAGAAGGCAAGCCTTTCTGAGCAAGATGTACAAGGATGAACCTGGCTTCACCTCACCCACTGACAGCAGCTCCCTCAAAGCAGTAATCCAGGCCCAGATTCTCCCCAATTATCTTTTGCCCTAAAAGCACTAATACATAATGAACCTGGTTAACACGCCTGGTGTTTTGTGGAACCTTTGAAGAGTTCACCGCAAAGGAAGATGCTCTGTGATCACAGACTTTTTTCTCTAACAGCACCAGAGGAGACGAGATGGGTTTGTATTTGAGGGTCTGTATAGAAATCTAGTTTTCAAAGCATTAATTACAGTAAGAAACTGATTGCCACCCAAAACAAAGAGCCTTAACATCCAAGTGGAGAAGGGGAGTCTTTTAAGCTACTCTATAGTCTGGGGATATAAACGGGAAAAAATGCACAGAAAAGAACTTGACTGTTTATATCAAGTTATTGTCAAGACAGACTCCTGCTGTTTCATCTCATGAACCTTCATGCTAAGTAACAATCTACTGCCCCCCAAAAGGCTTCTAGCTCTCTGGTTTTACCCACCCTACTTGCCTATTTCGAGGGGGCAACAGAGAACAGAGGTTCAAAAGGCAGACTTAAGATTTTTTCAGACTGAGGCCAGGTCCCACCAAGATCTCTGTGCCTGAGTTTCTTCATCTGTGCAAGGGGGAAACCACAGTACCTACCCTCAAGACCGCTGCCTTAAGTAAATCACACCTATGCACACAGTAGGCACTCAGTACAAGTTGGCTAATGATGACAATGATATTGAGGCTTAGTCTGGTCTGTATCAGTACAAGCTTAGGAGCAGAAGGTGGGTGAATCAGGAGAAACCCAGACACACACCGATCTCTGGATTCCTAATGTGTGGCCTTAGATAGTCTGTTGCTATAAAGACACGGGACAAATGGATTTTGAGGTGAGGCCTTTTTAAGAGACTGAGCACAGAGGCTCTGATGAAGGGCGACGCTAACGATGCAAAGGTGACACACTGGACTCTACGACAAGTAACTGGTAACACGTCCTTCTCCATCAAGCAGCCTCACAGGCACCCCACGTACATCACCAGCCAACCAACTTCACTCGAAATATTTTTTAAAAACACCAGGGTTTTATCACCCAAACACAACCCTATTGCCATTTGGGCAGATTTCCTTCCGGCCCTGTAATAACAGTTCTATGTTATTTCAAACTTTGTGCTCCTTTAAAGAATGGCTGCATAACATCCTAATATGAAGATTCACACAATTAACTAATCCTCCAGATTTGGACTTTTAGGTATGTTTCAATTTTTCCCTTTTACAAAGAACAGCTTGTGCATTTAACTTGCTTCTTTTTGTGAGTTTGTACGTAGAGGTTTGGCCTTAGGAGGTTTCCCAAGAAGTGGAATTCTGAGTCAGCCTTTAATTCATCCAGCTTTTGCTGTGCTCACACTGGACAAAAGAGGAACGAAATGTCGTCCTGGTCCCTGTCCTCAAGGAGTACCACAGGCAGAGGGGAAAGCATGTTGCCAAACACCTCTCCCATAGGGTGGTCCCAATTTCCTCATAAACTGATTCTTAATAAATGCCCTAAGGAAAAGCCCAGTTGTACACATCACCACCAGCAGGATTCAAACAAACCAAACCCCAAACTGGGCTTATTAGGAGGTAAAAAAACGAAAGCTTGTTTTAATTTGAATTAATGTTTACTGATTACCCGTGCCTCCTCTTTTATGAATCACTTCATGTTTCTGCTCCGATTTTACTGGGTGCTGGTACATTTCTCACTGATTTGCACGTTTTTTTCCACAGACTTGAGACCACCGTCAGTACGCAGTGCCACGCTTTTTTCTCGTTTACCGTCTCATCTATTTTTTCCCCACTTAGACTGACTTTTCACTAATTTGTACTTGGAACATGCCATCCAATCTGTACGGAGAGATCTCCCAAGAAACTACTCAGTGAAACCTGTTGCTTTATTTACTGAAAGGGTATTTTTGAAGATAATATAGATTAGGTTAGTTTCCTCTTTACAAGAACCCACACATTTCTTTCTGACATGAATGCCAGGAATAATGTTTCCTGAGTGGAGGGTTTATTTTTATGTTATGAATCCAGTGAATCATGGAACAGATCACGTCTTCTTTACGTGAATGCCTAGGAAGGGTCAAGTTAACTGTACAGCTCACCACTAGCAAATGCCAGCACTTCAAAAGCACACATTTTTGTACACTTCACTTCATCCGTGACTTTACCTTCCCTACTTTCATTTTTCCTTTGTTTTATTTTCCTTATCCATTTAAAATATTTAAACCAGTTATTAAAATAATGAGGTATAAAAATGCTTACCTAGTTTGACAAAAACAAAGTTCAAAAAAGTATAAAACCCAAAGTACAAAGTCCCACCCAACACTATTAGAACACAATAAAAAACACATACTATATGATGTCACTTATATGTGGAATCTAAGAAATAGAAATGAATGTATACACAAAACAGAAGCAGAATAAGACAAAGAAAACAAACTTATACCAAGGGAAGAGGGAGGTGGGGAGAGACAAATTAGGAGTATGGGATTAACAGATACAAACTACTACACATAAAACAGATAAGCAATAGGGTTTACTGTATAGCACAGGGAATTATACCAAATAGCTTATAGTAACTCCTAATGGAACAGAATCTGCCAAAAACCCAAATCTGTATGCTGTACCCCCTGAAACAAACATGATATTGTAAATCAACTATACGTCAGTTAAAAAAACAAACAAAAAGAAATACAGGACAAAGTCCAGCTTTTAAGGAGCTGAGAAGCTAGTGGGCAAGAAATAAGAAGACACAACATCAAGAAGCGTGCTAAGTGTGGTGACAGAATGTGCCAAGGAGACACACAGGAAGGGCATCTGATTCAGACTGAGGGCCTCTTGGAATGACTTCTGGGGGCAATGACACAGAGTCCGGAGGGGAAAGCACTCTAACAGAGAAACAGAAGCCAGAGCAACCCAAGTGATGGAAAAGACCTTACACTGAGCTAAGGCTTTTAAACTTGATTCTGAAGACTGGTGAGTCACTGCAGGATTTTAAATGGGATTTAAATGACATAGTCAGATTAACATTTCAGAAAAAAGCAATAGTGGTGTGCAGAACAGACTGACGGGATAAAAAACGAACCAGTAACCCTAGCTATATGGCCAGGGGTGATAAGGGCCTGAATGACTTACTACATTAAACAAAATGAGGTTTTCATTTGTATTTTATAACTATTGTTAATATGTAAGAATGCTATGAATTTTTGCCAGATTCATTAAATTTAACCTCTTGAATTCAGATTTCCAGAAGTGTTTCGTATCACCAAATAAACATAAATTTCTCTCTTCTTTCCAAATATTTCTATTTCACTTCTTATTGTACTGGCCACGACCATATTTTAAAAAAAATAACTACTCAAACTGTATGATTTTAGGTCATAAATTGAAAAAATGGCTCAAGGAAAACAAAATGAAGATTTTGGAAATGATTTAAACTTTTTAAGGACTTAGTGTCACAAACCAGACGCAGCATAACAATGGTGAGACTTGCCACTGAGGGCACGCTGCTGGGAGAGCAGGGACCCCACCTGGCTGTCAGTGCAGCGCACTGAGAACCGCTGCCCGCCACACGGCAGGGAGAAGGGAAAGAAAATGGAACCGCGTACTTATTCCAGCTGTGGGAGGGAGATAAATTTGACTATCGTGAAATAAAGGATTTTATCAGAGACAAACTGAGTAAGTAAGAATATATAAAAATAAAAAAGTTTTGCCCAATGAAATATAAAAACAGGGAGGAAACAGAGGAGGAAAAAAACTGACAGAACCTTGTAAGTGTGCACACATGTGTGTGTATAAATCTGTCACAAATATGAAATATGTATGGTCAGTAACGATTTTTCACTGAGTAAATGGCCAAATGGTCAAAGGAGACATGATCAGTTTACACATAAAGGAGATAAAATGAGTAAATTATCATTTGGGACACTGGATAGCCTCTCGGGAAATGAATGAAATATAAAAAGAAATGTATAACTGTATATTGCTGGTGGCACTGTCAGCCAGCCCCATGCCCCCCGGAAAGCCAGGTAACACCTGTAACAACAGCTATGTGCGTGCACACCTGGACGCGTGCAACCACGCCTCTGCCCTCTTAAGTAAACTTGGAGGAACTCTATCCCCAAAAGGGGAGAGTCATTTGTTTAATGATGCTCAGAGTAATACTATTCGTAACAGAAAAAGATGAAAACAATCCAAGACCCTAAGAAAATAAAAAGGCTAAATGAACCACAGGATAGTAATAGTATGTAGCATACAATTTTTCATTTTACTTTGGTTTTTGAAAAAATTTTTTTATTGAGGTATAGTTGATGTACAGTATAAGTTTCAGGTGTACAACACAGTGATTCACACTTTTGAAAGGTTATATTCCATTTATATTATAAAATATTGGCTATACTCCCTGTGTTGTACAATATATCCATGTAGCTTATTTCATAAACAGTAGTTTTGTAACTTTAAATCCTCTACCCCTACATTGCCCCTCCCCCTTCCCTCTTTCTACTGGTAATCACTAGTTTGTTCTCTGTATCTGAAAGTCTGCTTCTTTTGTGTTATATTCCTTAGTTTGTTGTATCTTTTTAGATTCCACATGTAAGTGATACCATACAGTATTTGTCTTTCTCTGACTGACTTACTTGGCATAATGCCCTCCAAGTCCATCCATGTTGTTGCAAATAGCAAGATTTCATTTTTTATGGCTGTATAGTATTCCATGACACACATTCCCCAGCCCCAAACTTCTTTATCCATCCATCTGTTGATGGACACTTGGGTTGCTACCATATCTTGGCAACTGTAAATAGTACTCCTAAGACCACTGGGGTGCATGCATCTTTCTGAATTAAGTGTTTTCATCATACAGTTTTTTAGAAGGACACATATGGGGACAGAAATAACTAGAAATGCAAAGGGAGAAACTCTAACCAATGCTTTGCAAAATATGTATGTGTGTGTGTGTGTATATGTATGTATGTATATATACATACACACACACATATATACGTGTGTGTGTGTGTGTGTGTGTGTGCGCATATATGAATTAAGAAGGATGTAGATAGAGAATGTTTTCCTACGTTCTCTCTCTTTTTTTTTTTAGGTACAACAGGCCTGGGCACTATCCAGACGCCAACACAGTACTACCAACTAACAGCACAAATGTTCCCTTCTTCCTTTAACAATATACCACGGGCACCTTCATCCTCCAATAAGTGCCATCACAGAAACATACACTCAGCGTTACAGCTTAGGTTTCTGGAAGGAAAGTAACTGCTCAATTATCTAATGGGCTTACCGTGAGTGTGGCAAGTGACATGAAGCCAATTAGGTTATTCCATACTTTATCGATGTCCTTTAGCAACTGCTGGAGTTTCTCACTGCACACTGCAGTGGCTTTTATCCCCAGCTCCACACGCTTGGTTACCCTGTACACCTCGACCACACCTGACAGGGTGAGAGGGTAGAGAGTTAAGGTGCTGGAGTGATGAGGAGAGGGTGAGCAGACAAGGCAGTGTGTTACTGCTGGCTGACGTCCCAGGTGGAAACAGGGACGAGATCTGGACAGAGGTGAACTTACTACTCCTTGGGACCAATCAGCTCGTAGCCCTGCAGCATTAACTTTTTGGTAAAAGCACAGACCTCAGAGCTACACCACTAGGATTCAAATCCCAGCTGTGGCACTTACTAGCTGTGTAACCTTGGGCAAGTCGCATAACCTCCCTGTGCTTCAGCTTCACTGGTACAACTGGGATAATAACAGTACCTCCTCAAAGGATGGCTGAGGGGATTAAATAGGTTAATACTGTAGAAGCCTTACAACAGTAGGAAGTATTAACACCCCCCCGCCCACCGGCTTCCTTATGAGTCCATCTGTTTGAATTTGGGAAATACCATTCAACTTGCTGAAAAGGGAGTATTAACATTATAAAAGAATCTGAACGTCAGTAAATCACGAAGCACAGGCCTACCTCGCTTTATCTTATCGTGCTTTGCTTTACTGCGCTTTCCAGATAGACATTTTTTACAAATTGAAGGTTCGTGGCAACCCTGCACTGAGCAAATCTACCAGCGCCATTTTCCCAACAGCATTTGCTCACTTTGTGTCTGTGTCACATTTCGGTAATTCTCCCAATATTTCAAATTTTTTCACTGTTATTTGGTATGGTGACCGATGACTGGTGATCTTTGATGTCACTATTATAGTTGTTTTGGGGCGCCATGAACCACACAGTATATGTTCTAACTGCTTCGCTGACCTGCTGTCCCCGTCCCTCTCCCTCTCCTCGGGTCTCTCCCTGTTCCCTGAGACACAATATTGAAATCAGGCCAATTAATAACCCTCAGTGTTCAACGGCCTCTCAGTGTTCAAGTGAAAGGAAGTCTCATGTCTCTCGCTTCAAACCAAAAGCTAGAAATGATTACGCTTAGTGAGGAAGGCACGTCAAAAGCCAAGACAGGCCAAGAGCTAGGCCTCTTGCACCAACGAGGGAGCCACATCGTGAATGCAAAGGAACAGTTCCGGAAGGCAGTAAGGAGTGCTGCTCCAGTGAACGCATGAATGACAGGACAGCAAAACAGCCTTACTGCTCACATGGAGCAAGTTTCAGTGGCCTGGATAGGCGATTAAAGCAGCCACAACATTCCCTTAAGCCAGAGCCTAATCCAGCTCAAGGCCCTAACTCTCTTCAATTCTTTGAAGGCTGAGAGAGGTGAGGAAGCAGCAGCAGCAAAGTGTGAAGCTAGCGGAGGTAGTTTAAGGAAAGTCGCGAAGTTTAAGGAAAGAAATCATCTCCGTGACCTAAGATGCAAGGGGAGGGAGCACGTGCTGATGCACAGGCTGCAAATTTCCCAGAAGACCAGCTGAGACCATTAACGAAGGCGGCTCCACTGAACAACAGACTTTCAATGGAACCACATTCTACTGGAAGAAGATGCCATCTAGGACTTTCATACTAGACAGAAGTTAATGCCTGGCTTCAGAGCTTCAAAGGACAGACTGACTCTCTTGTCAGGAGCTAATGCAGCAGGTAACTTTAAGTTGAAGTCAGTGCTCACTGACCACTCCAAAAATCCTGGGCCCTTAGGAATGATGCTAAATCCACTCTGCCTGTGCTCTCTCTGTTAACTGGAACAACAAAGCCTGGATGACAACACATCTGTTTATAACATGGTTTACTGACTATTTTAAGCCTACCGCTGAGACCTACTGCTCAGAAAAGCAGATTTCTTTCAAAATATGACTGCTCAGTGACAATGCCCCTGGTCACCCAAAAGCTCTGATAAAGATGTACAACGAGATGAATGTTTTCATGCCTGCCACACAACACAACACCATTCTTCAGCCCACGGATCAAGGAGTAATTTCAACTATCCAGTCTTATTTTTTAAGAGGTGCATTTCATAAGGCTATAGCTACCATTGATAGTAATTCCTCTGATGGATATGAGCAATGTAAACTGAAAAACTTCAGGAAAGGATTCACCATTCTAGAAGTCATTAGGAACATTTGTGATTCATGGGAAGAGGTCAAAATAGCAACATTAACAGGAGTTTGGAAGAAGCTGATTCCAACCCTCATGAGTAACTTTGCGGGGTTCAAGACTTCAGGGGAGGAAGGAACTGCAGATGTGGTGGAAATAGCAAGAGAATTAGAAGTGGAGCCTGAAGATGTGTGAACTGAAATCCCACGGTAAAACTTTAATGATGACGTGTTGCTCCTTCTTTTTTTTTCCTAAAGAGAAGGCAAGTTTATTTAGAGAGATACACATTCCATAGACAGAATGCGGCCCGTCTCAGACGGCCAAAGTGGCCCAGGCTGCAGGGGTGGTTAGTTTTCCTGGGCTGGGTAATTCCATGTGCCAACAAGTTGGAGGAGAATTCCAGCTGTTTTAGGGGAGGGGCAGGGATTTCCAGGAACTAGGCCACTGCCCACTTTTTTGGCCATTTATGGTCACCTCAGAACTGTCATCATGCCTACAGGTGTGCCACTGAGCATGCTAATATATTACAATGAGTACGTAATGAAGCTCAAGGTCTACTGCAAGTCAAATCTTCCGCCATCTTGGGCCTACTTGGTTCTAACCAGTATTTATCCTGTCCTCAATGGCTGTGTCATTCTTTTAATGGAGATGTTGCTTCTTATGGATGAGCAAAGAAAGTGGTTTGAGATGGAATCTAACCCTGGTGAAGATGCTGTGAAGATTGTTAAAATGACAACAAAGGATTCAGAACATTACATAAACTTAGTCGACAAAGCAGCGGCAGGTTTTGATAAGATTGACTTGAATTCCGAAATAAGTTCCACTGTAGGTAAAATGCTATCAAGCAGCACTGCATGCTCCAGAGAGGTGGCTTGTGAAAGGAAGAGTCAATCAACGAGGCAAACTTCATCGCTGTCTTATTTTAAGAAACTTGCCACTTCAGCCTTCAGCAGCCACCACTCTGATCAGTTAGCAGCCATTAACAGAGGCAAGAGCCTCCACCAGCAGGAAGATTACAATTCACTGAAGGCTAAGACGATGACTGGCATTTTTCAGCAATAAAGACTTTTTAAATTAAGGTATTTACATTGTTTTTTCAGACGTGCTATTGCACACTTAACAGACAAGAGTATAGTGTAAACGTAACTTTTCTACACACTGGTAAACCAAAAAACTCATGTGACTCGTTTTACTGCGATGTATGCTTTATTGTAATGGTCTGAAACCAAACTCGCAAAGTCTCCAAGGTATGGCTGTAATTAAGAAACAGCTCACTCTTCTGAGTGCCCTAAGATTTACAAACTCTGTGGCCTCACGTGTCTTTTAAACACTTAACAGGACACAGAATTGGTCTTTTCCTGTGGTCTCTGAATTGTGGCTGAACTCTTCCAGCAAGGATGATAAGTGCCCAGGGTCTCCATATTCCAAGGACAGCTGCCAGCCACACACCCAACCCTCCCCTGCCTCTCTCAGAGAGGCCTGGAAGAACTCCAGGGGGTCTTCAGTGGTACCTCCTCAGCCTGTATACAGCACTATGGACTGTCCCTTCTTCCCCAGGGGAAGGGCAGGAACTACTGCCCACTCTAAGCCAAGTGAGGGGGCTTCTAAGACCATCTTTCATACTAGGACACTACCAGAAGGAAAGACAGGCAACCCATTACCCAGTGAACACTTGTTTATGAAGCAGAACTGTGCCTATCTGAGAAGGAAAAAGGAACCAGAGCAAGATGGCAGGAGTAAAGGGGAGCCCACATCCCTTCACAGCCACTCGTTCAGCAAGTATTAGTGAGTGACTACTACGTGCTAGACAGCAGTCCAGGGGCTGAAGACACAGCTGTGAATGAGAGAGACCCAAATCCCTCCCTTCCTGGAGCTTCATTCCAGTGGAGGGAGGGAGATAAAATATTTAAGATATTAAAGGTATTAGGGCTAGGGAGACAACCAAACAGGGACAGGGATAGGAAGTGCCAGGGTGGGGACGGGGAAACAGTTTTGAGTAAGGGAGACCAGGAAGACCTCACTTAGAAGGTGACTAAAGATCTCAAAAACATTAGGGTCCAGGGCACGTGGCTGTGGCCATGGGACAAGCCTGAGCTTGGGGAGAAGAGGATCACTGGACTGGACAGAGATGGAGGTTTCAAGTTGGACTGGGATGTTTGACAACTGAAGGTAGGCAGGAAGCTGAGGAACCTGGGATGTTAGTAAGGGATAGGGAGGAAGAATTCAACATGGCATGGTAAGAACTGATTGGAGACCCAGGGATTTAATTTTAGTGCCTCATCTAGTTCAGACCCTGATAAACCAGTAATATGTAATTTTACACACATACAAACATATGTATAGCATAAGGACTGGGAAGTTTGGCCACAGAGACCTTAAGTCAAATAGTTATTCCTGTCTGTGACTTAAGGGTCTTATCTACAAATGCAGATGCTACTTAATGAAGCCACAGTAGCTTGAGCGAGCTAGATTAAACTACTAACATAGGGACAAATGAAAGGATCACAAAGTGCCATGATTTGGGGAAAGTAAAATCTAAAAGAACATACCTAATAAATACTCCATGCCTCGGGCTGACTGAATTACTTCTGTGCACACAGAACTACTGCTGATTCCATTTAAGGTATCATTTGCCTTCTTAATGACCTACAAGAAATGAAATCACATCAGCTTATATAATCAAGAAAAGTCATTACAAACCAATTTACGATTAGCAGAAAGTCCAAAGGAAAGCCAGGAGGGGTGACAAAGCAGGACTGATTGATGTATGTAGATGACTACGCTGAAACAAATCTGAGAAGTTCATCTTGACATTGAAGAAAAGATCCTCCATTTTTGGGGGGAAGAAGAAAGACAGAGGTTCTTTAGCTTTAATATTATTTTCACTTAGGCAGAGATAATGATATCATTATTATTTCTTAAACACAGGGACAGAAGAGGACACAAGGGACAAATGAGCTGTGTCTGCTGTTAAAAATGTGAAAGCAGCCTCACTTAAGAAGTATGACTTTCCACACAGCTTCCCTTTGCACAGGGCCGTCAAGGCCATCAAGGTAGAGCTCTCTGTCCATCCAAATGAACCAAGAAGGCAAAATGACACAAGAGGCGTTTCCATACGTGTGACCACCACAAGAGTGACATACTCACCTCGAGGGCACTCCCCAGACATCTCTGCCATTCATATGCGTATCTCTCATTCTCCTGTGAATTTTATAAGAAGTTCTGGGTTACACACAGACTCGCCTGGAATCCTGTTTATGCCTTCTGTCTTTTCAGAGTACTGAAGACTTCCTGTTTATGAGAATCACTCCAGTTCAAGTACTACTGTTTACCTTTTGAACCCACTAATGGCAATTTTAAATTCCTGATAAATGCAACTTTCAAGCCCATGATTTGTGAATCTGAGGGAAATGTTTCCTGATCGATTCCCTTCACACATGTTGCCTCATCTGTTCCATGAGTAGCAGAAACTTCTTTCAAGGTACTCACCATGTAGGCGTCTAGGACAAGAGCTCATATCAAACCATGCGCGTCCTGAAGATGCAGCAGACATAAACAGAAGATCCAGAACATTTCCCCCCTCCTCTATTTTGATGTTTTACCATTCACTAGGATGAGACAGTCTACATGCTCAAAAAGAACTCCCTTAGACACTTCCCTCCTTGTGAGGGCCCACAAGGAATTTCAGCTTTAGGGTCACTAACTACTTTCAGCGACACCACGCCTGGGAGGCATTTTCATCCAGGGCTAATGTCACTATTCTCTCACTTTAATTACACGCTTTATGTCTGGTGCCTGTGACCTTCTGCCCCTCACTTCTCCAGGTGACAGCTGCAAGCGCATCTTCTTGGGGTGCGTCTTTCACCCGCCCCCGCCCCCGCGGACAAGGAGCCCCGCTCACCTCCACCTCCCCCGTCAGGTCTTTGTACTTGTCGCGGATGACAGGCAGCGCGGGCTTCTCGCTCAGCGTGTTGGAGCGGTCTCTGAAGGGCTGCTCCAGAGCCGGGGAAGGGGAAGTACGGCTTATTTCTTTATCACCAAGGCTCAGGCTCCTCTTGTGTGACCCTGGGGGGAGGAGATGGCACAGAGGTCCTGACTACTCAGTTTAGTTCAAGCGGAGGCTCCTCCTTGCTAACATGACCCTCTTCTTCAGATGTTTGGGTCAGAAGGCGCTCAGAAACACACCCCTCACTCTGTCAGGCAAGCTACGAGCTGAACCCTTTGAATGGTTCTCCCTTGCTTGGGTTCCCTGCCTTTCATTTTCTCCATTACTCTTCTCCAATTTATCACAATTCTTCCGTAATCCTAAATGCAGAATCACTGCAGTCTGGAGGACAAAAGTGTCTTTCTAAGTATCAGTGCGAAAGAGGTATGTTGCTTTTCCAGTCATTAGTTACGGATTTGCACCAACTTTCTCCATCTCCCTCAATCTAATGGAAATCAATGAGCTCTTCTGCCGGATGGGATTAAAGCAAAAGGGGGCAAACTCAAATGCCTTCAGAGAGCATGTAAGTCAAGTAAATGACCAGAGCAGGTCAGGTGGAGATGGAAGTGGTGGTGACTGTGACACTGGGGAGCGCACACCTCATCTGTTAGAGGGGGCATTGCTACTCAGCTCCCACTCATCATCAAGAGGTGGGAATGCAGGCTGACTACTGCCAGATATTACGACTTTTCAAGAAAAGCTAGAAATACAGGCTGTGAAGTGTCAAGATTTTTATATATTTACAATTGCTTCACATATTAAAAAATCTTCCGTATGGGTCTGCACATGGAATCCAGATCCTACAACAGCTACCTTGTTGCAGCCTCTGGACCAAAAGATACAGTCTGCAGCCGGGGAACAAGAGCAGAGCTCACTGGCCCATGAAGGGATCAAACCATTCTCTGGCCAAAACAAGCAAATGAACAACACACTGTGTGCTCTGCTTATTTTTAGCCCCAAAAGCCTTTATCTGAGGGATACTGGTTTAATTTCAGTTCAATCTCAGGGAAACCATTTTTTATGGCTATCTGTAATTGACTGATTTTAAACACTGGAAAATCTATTTCCTGCTAACCCGGGGACCAACTTCTTATTCTAAGAAAGAACATCTAACACCGCAGTGGAAGAAACCACGACCATAAAATCTACGTTGAAAGCCACTCACCTTGGACAGAAAGGTCAAAGGTTGCCAGCTCACTTTTGATCATTTCTTCACTGGATTTCACTTTGCCTTGTGAACTGGCCACTAAAAAGTCAAACTTGCTGATTTTGGGCTTTTCACTTTGAAACTCCCCAAAGTCATCTGCACATTCCTTGGGGGTGTCGTGAGACGCGCTGCTGGAGGCTGGGCTTGGGCGCGTGGTCTCCTGGCTCCGTTCAGCTGCAGGCAGGTCCTGTCTTGTGAAATCCTTATAGTCCCCGCTTTCATATTCCTTTTGCTCGCTGGCCCGCGGAATCACATCTGTAAAACTGGCAAAAGCTGGAAAGGGAGTCTCTGGAAGAGCGTCCTCACTTGCAAAGGTTGTGACTTTGGAGAGAGATGTCACAGTGAGGTTTTCGGAACTGCCAAACGAGGTCTCCTTCTTTTGAAGAACTGAGGCAGCTGCAGGTGCTCCGCTTCCTGCTGAGAGGACAAATGGGGGGAGTGTTCTGCCCTGAGAGGCATCATCCCTGTCTGCCCAGTCATAGCTCGTGAGTGTGCTCACTGCAAAACTGCTGCTGCAGGTTCCAAAAGCAGCATATTTTAAGTCCTCTATATCTGAAAGGGAAATAAGACCCCACAATTAGAGGCAAGCTCACGATTCAGGCAAAATGCCCTAAACTGCAGAAGCAAAATATCCAGTATAGTTGATTCACTCTATGCTACGTTGAAGTTAACTAAATTTAGAGCTTGTACTAAAATTAAAGGAGCTGGGCTATAAAATCTGATCTTTAAAAACCCTTACATTAGCTTTAAGCTTGCATTTATATTTAGTAACAAAGAGCCATTTTCTTTGGATATTAAAATTACTAAAAAAAGATAGGTTCATACACCAATATATATACTGTTTGATATAAGAAAAGGGTCATTAAATAAATTGTCCGTTAATTTATAAACTTTCAAATATATTTACAGTATTCCCTGCCTATAACACATCTCTTTTTGACTTTGTGGGAAAATGTTCTTTTATAACATGGTCATATGAAATGGACATGACAGACTAATTAAAAATCGGCAATTTCTCAAGACTAATGTGAAAATAATGCTATCTAACTTTTAATCAAATCATTAGGAGTTTCTGTCTCAGGTAAAGCCAAACGTGAGATTTTAATTAAGCAGTTACTTACCTAGATGTTATTTTGGTCAATATGGACGTCATATTGCTGTGATGGAGTATGAGGAAAGAAAAATCAATCTAAACTATTTTAGTCCCTAAAAAGTAGAATCAAAGGCTGGGTCCTCTTGGGCTCCTGCTTCTCCTTCAACTATGTGTGACCCCCTCACAAAAAAAAAAGGAAAAAGGAAAAAAAAGAAATGCTGGGGCAGAAGACTCATTTTACATTCTTAACACATGTCTAATTTAAGAGAAGGCATAAAACAGAATGTAGGTTTTTGATTTAGACAGACCTGGGCTCAACTCCCAGCTCTGGCACCTACCACCTGTGTGACACTAGACACACCATTTAACATTTCTCAACCTCGGTTTGCTTAGCTGTAAAGAGAGAAGACCGTGTACTTGGAAGGGCTGAGTTGTGACATGAACTGATCATGTATAGACGGCCCCGCCCAGCGCCTGGTGAGCAATACAGCAATTATGATACAGCGGAGTTGCCAGCAGCCTCAATTTGATTTTCAGTTGCTACTTTAGGGCCTACAACAGAATTATTTCCAAGTAAAAATGAAAAGTCAAACCATCACTTTAATGGTCTTAGTAGGCAAAGTTTCTTGCCCATTTTCATAGAGCAGAACCAGCTGAGGCTAAGTCACGCTGATGTGGAGAAGCCACCCTTCCAGCAGCGCCATCCGTTCAGTCTGGCTGACAGGTGTTTAGTTTCTTTTCAGTCACTGTATACGAGGTAAGGAGGCCAAATGCAAGATTCTCTCCCTGACAACTACAAATATGGCTTACAAGGAAAATGCTCAAAATGTTTGTGACCCAGATTTTCCTAATTTGGTCAACAGGCGAGCCTACGCTGGGTCACGTGGTCTTTTGTGTGCAGCAAGGCTGCGGAGTTGATGAGAGGTCGGGGCTCTGGTCACTGCTCTTCTAATGGCACACCCCAGATCTCTCTCTCTCTCCTTAAACCCTATTAGGAAAAGTGTGCTGAATTAATAATAAAAATGGAAAACCCCAGATGCACAAAAAGGTCAATCAGTGAAAAGCAGGTAGCTTTCACAGGGCAGTATATTTAAAAATTCTGTAGTGCAGACTGTCCCCTTCAAATTTAGCTTCTTAAACAGGAGCCAAAAAAAACCAAGATTCATGTGGAAAAATGTACAGTTTAGAATGAATGAAACAAGACTTTCGGTGGAATGCTTTCTTGGTCTCTGGCTATACTGTCTGTTTTCCTCACTATTTAAAGGGATCAGAAGGTGCCCTGACTCAAGTGAGGGGAAATTCAATCAGGAGGCAGATGCAGTTAAACACCAGATGAGTCTTCAGGGGATACATTCAGAAGAATGTTTCACAATATGACTATTTTTATTACTAGGTCCTAACTGAAAGCTCTCTGAAGACGCTGAATTATGAACTACTCCCTGAATCTCATCTGCTAAAAGGGTAGCCATTTTTCTAGAGACCAAAGATAAATTTAATAAAAAGTTAAGCTCTTGTTCAAACATTACAACTAAGTTGCTATGGTAAAAAAAAAAAAAGACCCTTTTGTGTAATTACGTAGCAAGGAAAAACAAGTTGTTGCTGTTGTTTTTAAAAACAGAAGTCACTGTAATAGTATCAGCTAAAACGCATTATAAGCAATAAGGGAATATCTCAGCTGCAGGGCTTTTAGAGGTCTTCAGCAAATCTTATTTTTATTAAAAATGATAATAACTATAACATTTTGCCTTTTGGAGTAACTCACAGAAATGACCAAATGAAAGACTGAAAGCCAAATATTTTATGTTAAAAAAATAATGAAAAGTAATTATACAGGCTATACGAAAGTAAAGCCTCAAGGTTGATTTTTAAATTTTACTTTTGTTTATTTATTGGCTATATATAGTATAAAAAATTAAAGTGCAATTCATCTGAACACATAAGGAAGTATTCCTATTACATAAGCAACATGAGAACACTGTATTCCTAACCTTAGTATTTATAAATAATATAAAAATAGAGCAGTATTTCCTGGCATGGTGAATGTTAGTAAGTCATTTTCTAAGAAAAATGTGGTAAATCAGTTTACTGAGGGTAGGTTAAATCAAGAAAATTCCTCATTTCCCATGTTAATAGTTCTGCTTCCTAAGCAGTCAAATGATACATATTATTGTATGATGATCTTAAAAATATTAAAGATGCTATAAAACCTACAACATGAGTGATGGAAGCCCTACCTAAAAAAATAATATGGAATAGCACACACTTTATTTTGCAGTTTGATAGGTGAATTGTAGAAATTGCAAGAGAAAAACGAAAAGGAAACAGAATAGATGCAATAAAAGGAACAGAGAATCTGTACTTCCAATTCGACTGGAGAACTCTCAGGCTGTGCTAGGTTGAACTGCAATTGCACACAGAGAATGCACCAAATAGTGTGCTTTAATATACGTATTTGTTTGCAACCAGCAATGTGCTATTACTAAGGCCGAAAGAATAAACTATACAATCTGTTTCCATTATGGGTCTCAAATCAAGAGATGGATTTCTTGCTTATGCTGGCGCTTATGCTGGCAAGTAACCCTATCAGTCTCTTCCACAACCTCTACGCTTCTGGATGAAGGCTGTACATGAAAACAAGGTATTTCTTGGAACAAAGACTGTGAACTGCCACCACAGGACACAAAAGGCCGTACCTACCCCAGTGGACATTTTCTAAGGCTGTAAGGCTATGCCCAGTGGTTAAGAGTTACTGGCTTTTGAAAAAGGGGTTCAGAAGAAGAGATACATGTGCAAATTCCACTATTCCCTACTGCTTTACAGAGCAATAAAAATGATCACTGGACTAAGGAAGAAATAACTTTTAATTTTCCAATACTGATTTAATCCAAACTCCACTTACCAAAGCAACTTATGAAATACTGATAAACTTCTTTCCATTCCTAGCCTTATTCTACCTTCTGAGATCAGTCATACTCATGTTCTCCATTAACCATAAAACTTGGTCTGACTGTGTCCTCTAAGTATCAAACACCCTAATAGGTGCTACTGTACAAAACAGCAATGACAGTGATCACAGTGTAGTAAGCATGACAGGTCATAACATACTGCTGTGTAACTGCCTTCCAGTGTTTTCTAATCTGCATAAAAACCTCCCATTCTTCATTTGCAATGACTCATATAAATCTGTGGTTTAAATGCTGTCCAGGCTATCAGCAAGCACCTTCAGGTTTCTGGGTCAGTAAAGGAAAGTGGCAATCCTGTGGATATTTTCAGTCAGAGGAGGCTGGAAGGCCAAGGAATGGTGCCAGGATAGACACTGGGACTGCTCACGGGCATCACTAAAGACCTCATCTAAAAAACATCAAGCACAGAGGATGGCAATCACAACTGGAGCCTTTCGGCCATGCCAGGGAGAGGGCAGCACCCAGGAGACCCTCCTATGCACATGACTCTCTCTCTCTCTGATCCTATATAGATAAAGCAACTTATCAAAAGTATTCAACTGATGGAAAAACAAAGCTGGAAGAATCCTTTGATTCTTTGAGTTATTCGGTGCAGCTTCTTTGATATTGCCAGTATCCCCTACATGTTCATTAGCTACTGTTAAAAATCAGCAGGGATTTTAATGTGAAAAATAGAATGTAAAATATAAGTACATTTGTATAATTTCTCAGACACTGATATGTGAAGTCAAGCACTAACCATATCTTACTTTACTTGGGCATTGGGGTAAACAAAACCGTATTTTTGTTTGTTTGTTGGAACTTACAGAATAGAGTTCTTCAAGTCCCTACTGCAAGTTTGTATTATTACATGTATTAGTAAAACTTCCTCCCTACAAAGTCATGTTACTCTGGAAACAACTGCTCAATTTGCAAATGTGATTATGTTTTATGCACAATTATATTCAGTTATTTTCTGCAGCCTGATCAAATGCAGAAAGGAATTAAAATAAAGAAGTCCCAGACAGACCAATCCAGCACTAAATAATTCCACTGACAAAGGAATTCCTTAGCTAAAGCCACCACAAGACTGGTCTTATAAATGGCACTGGAAAATTCTAAATGATGGGCAACTGGTATTATCACTAGATGGAGGCCACTCCAAAATCTCCGTCTTCCTAATTAGCACACAACATAATCAAAACGTATGTTCTTACAAGGTTTTGGAAACCAAGTATTATTCAACTTTCTAAAGCACTATGCCCTGGAAAACACGGTATTTTGAATAGCAGACACAGATTTTCTTAGAGTTAATCTAAACCCCAATATGCAACTTTTTTCCCCTTTAAATGGAATATTTCAGATACTGTAAGCAATCTCTCAGGAATCCTATTCAAAATCCTCACCTTCAGTGGTTTAATCTCCTGCCTCAAATTTTTAAGAAGAACAAAGAACTCTACTAAAGCGTCAAAATATAAGAAAAATTTAAACCATGGAAATAACTGTTTTTTTCCCAAGGTTTTTACTGGTCTTGGATTTCTGATTTGAAAAACAATAGTATTCCCAAGGTTCTTCACTATTATTATACTCTAAAGTGGAAAAAAAATTCCAAATCTGGCCTGCTTTTGTTGCTAACTTTTGTGGGTCTTTCTAAACTTATTTTCTTAAAAATGAAAAGAACTTGGGGCAGTGGCATAGCTCAGAGGTAAAGCTCATGCTTAGCATGCATGAGGCCCTGGGTTCAATCCTCAGTAACTCCATTAGGAAGGAAGGAAAAGGAAAGAAAAGAAAGAGTTCAAAGTTTACTCTGAGACATTCCCTAAAGTCGTTTTAAAACTTGCTTTATGGATTAAGTTAAAAAAGACTGACAGTGGCTTCATAATACATTCTGAAGTTGGAAAGATAATGTGCTCGACAGTTGGAGGGTCAAGCACCCAACTTCAAACTCAAATCAAACTCAGTCCTGAAGACTTCCCAGTATTAACATTGAACACTTTCCATTACAGAGATTATCAATCAGTCTACACTTACTGTGCTCCAAAGTCCTTCTCAACACCATTCAATAATTTAAATTAAATGGACAGATACCCAGTTATTAGCAGATGTGTCCCTCTCTCCTCAACACTAAACTCTTGGGCCTCCCTCCTCACCTTTCCCCTCTCTTCACAGTACAACTCCTAGTGGAGACAGCTCTGAGGATGTTTACTAAGCAATAAAGTCTATCCAGTTTCTTCACTAGAAGAAAGGAGTACATTTTCTCTCTCTCTATTACATAAAGTAGTAGAAGGTGTACAGCTTTTTTTTTAAACGTTTAAAGTTATATTTTAATCCAGTGCCATGTTAAAAATTTATATCAGTGGAATTACAGGGGGAAAAGGCTAAAATGTACCCAATCCTTTCTCAGGAGAAAGTTGTTTGAGGAAACAAAATCACCAAAAGGGAAAAAATCCTCTAACCACAGGAGGGTTTAAACTTGATATGGACCAGGTATTTCTTTGGTCTATCTCTAGAAAAGTACAAATTACACACATCCCCACACTTTCAAAATATGCCAAAGAATTATTTATTAACATAGGACTTACAGATCACAAGAGAGTGGTACAGAAGAGCTGGAAAAAAAGTCATCAGAATAAGCATGCAGATCAGTATTTGCAGAGGAATATACCAAAGCAAGTTCGAAAAGGCACATTCACACAGAAAATGTCTAAATGGAAAAAAAGACATCAGAAAAGCAGCCAAAAAAATAATAAGGCGCTGATTAAAATACAAAGATTTTCAATGTCAAAGAAGAGCTACTTTACAGGTAGGTAGGCAGGTAGGTAGCTACAGAAATCTTGCTAACCCTTTGAGAGTGTCACAAATGAGGGTCAGCTCTTGCTGCCAACGAAACCAGAGGATCTTAATGACTGCACATCAAGATGCTTCAATACTGAGAAATTCAATTTAGTGGGGGGACAAAAGCAGCCTGGTTGAAATTATATGCAGCAAGGACTCAAAGGGCTAAATGTAATAATACGCAGAGAAATCAGGCAATGTTATTAGTATTATCTACCTTCCATACAAAGAATTATAGCAAGGGTTAAGAGACAGTATCCCCTTCAGAGTTAAGTTAGGGTTTCTAAACGGGATTAAATCCACTAGGTTTTATTCTCTCTTCACCAGCCCACTTCTTATTTCTCCAACGAAAAGTACTTTTAACCCTCAAACTAAGAGAGTAAGAGATACTGTGATCAACAGGAGCATAAAGTAAAAGCCAATTGCACAGGAGAAGTTTCTGCCGTTTAATTCTCTCCAATACGTTTACGCAGCAATTTGCTCAACAACAATATAGCTCATTGATCAAACATTAACCCCTTTTAACAACCACTCTAAAGGGATACTGCTCCTTTCCGACAGGAAGTTTACAGATCAAAAGGAGGAAATAATCTGCTTTTAAGAATACCCTCATACTGAAGAAACTTGGCTTGAACATTACAGGTTCCAAGCTGGGAATGTTCCAAACATACATACAAAGACATGAGCACAGAAGATTATTTTAACAGGTCAATCAGAACAAGCTCAGGAACAAATCCAACCTCCCTCCCCAAATGTGAAAAAAAAAAAAAAAGGATATCCCAAACCCAGATTAGACTCATCTCATAAAGACATCTAGCTTGGCACTGTGAAAGAATATAGATTCACTTTCAGAAAAATAGCTTCTAATTAATAACTTCAGAGTCCAAAAGGCTAGTATACATGTTATGAGATTTTTTTTAACTGAAAAGCAAATGTTGTTCAGAAAACGGAGCACTTTGCAACCAACTGCTGTAGCTCAAGCAGCTCATACAAAAAAGAGAAACAAAATCACTCCAGCAAACAAACAGCAGCAAAAAAAAAGACAAGAAAACATCTGAAGAAAAGTACAAAAAAAAAAACAGCAGACAGGCAGGGGCCCGAGGAGCCCTGCAGACAGCCCACTGCACTTGGAAAAGGCCTTAGCAAGGAGCACACGGCACACGGCGCTCTTCCGACACCTGGCTCCTGATTCAGCACCCTGTTTAAGAAGACCTCCAACACTCCAGCAGCCAAAGGATGGATACGATTTTGTTTTCTGACTTACTAATTTGACATATACAAAGGCCGTAATACTTTACAATTTCTACCTGCATCTGTAGACTTGGAAGTGTCTTATGTGTCCCTCTCTAGTTAAATGACAACAAACCCTTCCTAAACATTAATGCATGTTCTGGAATAATACAGTAATGCTGAGATATTTCTCATTATTAAAGGCCACAAAATAGGTTTATCTTTCTATATACACATCAGGGAACAAAACAAAATAAAAACTAGGACACTTAGGAATCTAGTTTTTCTGATAGGAAGTTGGATTAGAGAATAAACTGCTACATGGAATTTAAAGAGGGCTCCCATCTAAAATGCTTTCCAACATTTTATGAGACAGTTAGTAGTCACCCTAGTCTACCATCTACAGATTTGTTACAATTTAATACTTCCAGCAATAAGAGTTAACACTGAAAACCGTGCCTAAATTTCACTAACAACTCACGCCCTGCTCCTTGCCAGACCCTGGCACGCTGGGCACCCACACACAAGCTCCTTCCCTCCTCTTCTCTTGTAGGGACGTGGCAAACTGCAGGACAACTGGCTAGACATTTTTACTTTCTTAACCTAACAAGAGTCATTTTCTGTAAACCACACAAGATACTATATTGGCAGCTGCCAAATATACCCATGAGAAGAAAAAAGGAGACTGAAACACTGACCTCACTCACAGAAATGGAGGAACATTACTGACACTGCGAACATCTTTATAAAATTTCTAGCAATGTGGGGTTTGTTTAGCAGTGGATTTTGATGTGCCTCACACACCAAGTTGGTGTTAGATTTCAACATAAAAATATTTTAGCTATCCAATCTAGGTTCCCTAGTATTCATGGTATCCATATATCCAAGTATCCACAGAATCAAATTTAACACTGCTTTAAGGGGACTGGCAATGAAGAGGTTAATTATTAAGACATTCACAAAGGTTAACAGCCAGAACCTTAGTCTTCTGCAAATCCACACCCACAGAATCATCTTTGAAATCTACATCACCATCACCAGAGCAATCTCACCAATTCCTCACCTGCAGCAGGAGGATGCTGGCCACTAACTGTTGGTAAATCCAAAGAGCTATCAGACATGACATGTTTAAGATCTCCTCCCACATCAGCCAGTTTCATGTCAAACTGAACAGAGAGTGCATCTTCAGAGTCCTCCTTGCCAACACTGCTGCCACCAATGGAAGGGAGATCCAAGGACTTCACTGATGCAGAGTCTTCCTTAGTGTGTCTGAAAGCCACTGCCTTCTCTCCCAGGGATTTGTCCGAGTTCATGGAAGAAAACTTACTCGAGTGGAAGTCAGCAAAATCATCATCACTCTTTGCTGAAGGAGTGTTATCTTTCAGTTCTTCAGAACCTAGTCCAGACCCTTCCAAAGAGAGTTGTTTGAAGACATCGTATTTGGTTGACATAGCAGCTGAGCTCTGTCCACTCTTCCCTGTGCTGCTGGTGCTGCTGGGCAGGGGGCCAGGACTAGCTTCCTCTTTAAGGGCCTCATATTTGTCATCTGCCTTTTGCTCAGATGAAACAGAACTATTAGTGAAAGCCATAAAATCTGCAAAGTCATCCTGCTCCCCGACAGATGCTGGACTAGAATATTCCCCAAAAAGGTTGAATTCTCCAAAATCATCAGCCAGACTCGAAGTTTTAGCCGAAGCCAGTGCTGACGCAGCTGCGGCAGACCCCGCCGGCTGGGGTCGTGTGGAAACAGGTTTCGGTGCACTAAATGCAGCTGCAAAGGACAATGGTTTCTCACTGCTGCAAGTAACTGAGGAAAACATATCTAGATCTGCTAAGTTCAGAGGACTTTTCACTTGTGCTTGTGGTTTCTGTTGTATAGCTCCTGAGGGGAAGGCGGCTGGAAAAGTTTTGTCTTTTGTTGGTGGCTCTAGTGGTGATAGACTATCGGCAGTTTTAAAGTCGGTGAAACCATCATCAGTCCCTGCAGATCTGAATTCTGCGAAGTTTTCTCCTGAAAGAATACAACCAAGTAAATAAGAATGCTGAGCTGAGGAGGTCATGATGCAAAGCACATTAAGGTACAAACATATCACAGACTTCTCCCTCACTGGCTTGACAGTATTGAAGCACAGTTTAATAATATCCCCACCAAATACCCCTTCTGTTTTCACACTGAAGGCTAGTGATATGGAAATAAATAAAAATCAAACAGAGTGCACCTAACAGTATCATTTTCATTTGCTCATGTCAGGGTGGTATGTCTGTTAGTGCCAGAGCCTTCGACGGGCCAAAAGCACTGCTCTCAGGACTTTCTCTCACCAGCGCTAGTCAGCCACACATACAGTAGAATAAGAAATAGGTGTTGGAGGTTCCTGAAGAGAGGCATATTTAAACAGTGGCCCTTTAAGATAAAATATGTTATGTGGTGGTTAGGTTAAAAAAAGAAATCACAGGGATCAATGAAGTATTATGAAAAACATTGCATATAATATTTAGGATGCACAATGCTCTGCTCAACTAGGCACTTTAAGCACAAGGTTAGATACTATGTGGTTTTGCTCAAGTATATGGAGGCATTAATTTGAAGGGAATCTGACGCAAAAATTTTGAAAAGGCATCTATTTATTTGCAAAGCATTCTTGCTAAGAGCACGTTATAAAGTAGTTTTCCCGCATATTCTCCAACAAATAAGCTGAATCTTACAACAAAAATCTGTGAGTACTTGGGCTTTTCTTGAAAGCAGCCATCTCATTGTACCAATCAGCACTTATTCAAAGGGATTTCAATACCAATTCCATTGTTAAAAATTTCGAGGACTGGATTTAAACTTTAGTTTATATTTTGCTACTCTGAAGATGGGGCAACTGACAGAATTACTTTACTTTTAGCTAGAGAAAATAGGTACTAAGGTACTTCTTATAAATAATTAAACAAGTGCAGTTAAGATACTGATAAAAATCTAGACACATGGTTCTTAATAGGGTCTCTGTTCTTTATTATCATAGTAATATGATCACTCATAGGCATGAGGTTAGGATGCAGATGATCTGTTTTCTAACAGTGTCTGAAGGTCTTCCATAAAATCCACTAGGTTATACCAGGTAATTAAAATCAGAAATAAACCAAACATAAGTATAGTTCTATCAACATCACTTATTATTTAAAAATATGACAGCCATTTCTGCAGAGTTATAAATTAAAATACAAGCTTTAATTTCCTCATCCATTTCTTAAATTCTATCTTTCCTTAAAGTGAGATACAGAAGCATATTAACTATAAAAATGTATTTAAAACCAAAATATAAAATTGTCATTAAAATAATGCAGGCTTTATTATTCTTGTAACATGATGTATACTTTGATATATCATATGAAATAAACCATAGAAAATAATGGAAGCTTATTTTTCCTCCTAAGATACTTAAACAATTCACCAGCATAATTTATCAACAGAGAAACCTATATATTATTCAGGAAATTTCAGAAAGAGAAGAACAGCATTCAAAATTTCTGTATTTTATGTTTTCATACATACCACTAATAAAACTTAAGTCAATTTCACAAATTGACAAGAGAAGCAACTTAAAAAGATTGCCCTAGAATTTTAAGCAAGTATATCATTGATAATATCTGTATTATTCCTGTAAAAAAAGCAAGCAGCCAATTTTGTTACAGCCTAAATTTTGGATGTGCTGCTTTAAAAGATCTGTGAAATTGACAAGTTTTCCTTTGTTATTTTGAAAAAAAAAATCACCACAGCAAACTAAACTTACTGATGAATTGTAAACATTTCCATTAGAAATGTGAGCTGGGTGAAAGGGTTAAAAAGATAAAAATGGGTGGGTTACAAGTTCAAAAATAAAGGGATTTTTGGGCAAATAAATTAGCTGCAGTCATTGGAAGCCTGCTTACCAGCAGGCACATTAAGCATATTACTTCATGGGTAGCTTTTCAGTTACTTCTGAATCCTCATAAATTTTCCTAACTGCCACTTCCTAGGCCCTAACAACATTTCAAAAGAGATCACTTTGTGCTAAAACTTCAGTACGTGTCACTTCTCTATATAGTGTATTTTCCTCACCTACTTTTATTTCTGCTTTTAAACTGTAGGGGTAGAAAAAAGGAAATATTATTCAACTGTCATTTGGACTTGAACTATAGTTCTGACCATAATACTGTAAGTCTCTTCATAAATTCTAAGATACTAACCCTGATGAAGCCAGTCCAACGTATTAAAAAAAAAAATATATATATATATATAGTGGGAGGAGATAATTAGGTTTTTGTTTATTTATTCTTGGAGGAAGTACTGGGAATTGAACCCAGGACCTCATGCGTGCTAAGCATGCGCTCCACCACTTGAGTTCTACCCTCCCCCTCCCAGTCCAATGTGTTTTTAATGGGAGTAGAATAAAATACATTCTCCTAAAATGAACAAATTGGCATCTCTACCTGGAAGGCCTTAGAGTCAAAGGTAAGACAGGAATGAAAGCAAGCACACAATGGTGACTACGACCACCTGGGATTCTGTTAGTAAAGAACAGCAAAAGCAGGACTAAGGTACCGCTTACATTTTGGTGGCACCATTGTATTTCCCAGGAACAGCATACATATCACACGATCACTAACACATAGTACATAAAGAACCCTGATGTTAAACCATGTTCTTTACTCTAAACTTGCCTTGGCCCAAGAGTTGGTGAAAGCACTGTTAGGAGAAAATGACAAATTAACAACCCAAAAGTTCCTCTAGGGTTTATCTTTATAATGCTAGTACCTAATACACGCACTGAGGAAGAAAGTTATTATATCCTACGATAGATAAGAAGTTTGGGATTAACAGATACATATTACTATATATAAAACAGATAAACAACAAGGACCTACAGTACAGCATGGGGAACTATATTCAATTTCTAATAATGAGCTGTAACGGAAAATTATCTGAAAAAAAAATGTGTGTATATGTGTAACTGAATCACTTGCTGTACACTCAAAACTAATATTGTGAATCAACTACACTTCAACAAAAAGTAAGAATTAAAAAAGAAAGTTACTACATCCTAATGGTTTGAATGAAACATTTCTAAAACCTAAGAGTTGTAAAAAAGTTAATATTTTTGGGGGGTGGGGGACTAATTAGGTTTGTTTATTTATTTTCGAATGGAGGTGCTAAGGATTGAAACCAAGACCTCCTGCATGCTAAGTACATGCTCTACCGCAGAGCTATACCCTTCCCATTGAATATTTTTAGAGATACTTGAACAGTATATGTTCTACTTTAACTTCCACACGTATGCCTTACCTTTCCTATAATCTTCCCCCACCTGCCCACTCCATTCCTGGGGCAGGAGGGTGAGAACAAATGATTGTGGAAGGATGCTCCAAATCGGAGCATTCAATACACAAAGGGAGAATGTGGTACTGTTCCCAGGAAGAAATTCTCAGTAGAATATACAAATTTCACAGCAGGCATGGTTAAGCTTTGAAGGACATAATTTGACTAATGGGTTAACTAAACCCTAAACACCAGGTTTCTAGTAGGATTTAGCCACAAACGTAACTTTCAGTCTTTACATACATATACAGCTCTCAAATCATCCTTCTATATTCCCAACCACATGATTTAAGCCCTTCTATCAGAGATGGGCACCATATAGGCACATAAGCCCCTCTCACTTCACCTTATTAAGTTACAGACAATTTTGAAAATCCTGAGGAGTAAAAGACTGGTTGCTGCCTTCTGCACAGTCCACAGACTGCTGCACTGTGAACAGTTTCAGTCTTGATGAGCATTAAAATAATCGAAAGTGGTCGCAGGAGTATAACTAGGCTTGAAGGCTTCCAGTGAAAGGGAATGCACTATCTTCAAAGGAAACTTCATCGATCTGGGGTTTGTCCTAAATTTCAGAAAATAATTTCCAATCATGGAACCACATTTTACTTTCTTGTAACTTCTAGAGCTACAAAACAAGAAAACCACCACACACACAATAAAATAATTTTAGAGATGTCACTGAAAGAACCATCAAAAATCTCTTATATTAAAAAATTGCAGTAATTTATCCATTTAAGGAATTAAACACTTACCTAAAGATTTACTCTCTGCTGTCTGTTCGAGTTCTCTGAAAGCACTATATTTGTCACCAGGCTCTATGATGAAAAGACAGAAAGCTCAGTTAAGGTTAGGAACCTTGAGATCACAACTCAAGGACATTTACCATCAAAAGTCACCACTGAAAACAAAGATTTACATTCACAGGTTTATAAATTTATCAACTGTTTTTTTCTTTTTTACCTCCAAATGGAATAGTATTTTCAGAGGACTTGTCAGTTGCAATTCCTTTAAACACAGCATATTTATCCATTGATGCAGATGCTTTAGTTCCAGGGAGTGGCATCAACAAAGAAGGGGCACTAAGAGGGAAAAGGAAATATTTCTTAGTGACCAGAACATTGTCTCCTTCCCTTATCATCAAGGAAGAGCTTAGAATTAAGATGGCATCGGGCACCTAGTAACACTCACGGCTCCCTGCTTTAAAAGTTAGAAACTATATATGTGCACCACAAATGACAAAAAAAAAATCCTTTTCCTTGAAAAAAATATACTGAAACAAGACTCAAGCAGTAATTCTTTCCTTGGTTATTTGAAGAGGGGTCAGATCCACGCTGACCATCTAATCATCTTTAAGCCATAAAAACCAGAGCAATGGCATTGGAAGTAGATTATTACAGAATGATGACGACCTGCATTTTAAAATTGAGGTCCATTAAACTGTGCAAGTGAACTGCTCCAAATATGTATACCCAATATTTTAAAGTAAATTATGTTAACCTTAATATATTCTCTAAAATGGGTTCAGAATACAGAGGTGGAATAGTTAAGATAAAAATCTATTTATGAAAGGCTGTTCAAGCCAAGATGTAAACTGTTCTTCATTTGATCATACTGCATTGCTTACTGGCAGAAGTTCACCCATCTGATAAGCAGCAGCCGAGTTAATACAATTTGCATTTTTACAGGCATCACATCAGCAGTTCCAGAAGCTATCTTTGCAGCAAAACAACAATCACTTCAAAATCAGATAGGTACTTTTGCCTGTGGACACATTTCCCGCTGGATGGAAAAATAGTGTAATGAGTAGTATCTGTGTGGGTAGTTCTTGGACGGCTCAAACAGATATTATAAACTGCTTAAACACATACTATAAACGAATTACTTTTTTTTTTTCTTATCAGACCCAGGCAGCCCCCTGGCAGAACAACCTTTACATATGAATGACTACATTCCACTACTAGTTTGTGTCATTCAATACCATATACACACATTACATAAATGGATTTCTATTGAGTTCTTTGCCATGGAGCAAGAATCTTTTCACAGTCATTTAAATCTTCTTATCAGGGGCCTACAAGCAAGGTACAACACCCAGCTGTGGCACAGGCAAGCTAATGGGCGCCCACAGTGCTGGAGTAAGACTTAGTGCTACCAAATGTTACAAACTCACATCTCTACCCAACAGCTGCTACGTATCTGATTTTGACAAATAGGTCATCATCTACACAACTGTAGGTGGATTTTTTAAAGTTCCGTAAGTAATTAAACTACAACTCATTGAACAGAGTTTTACATAGAATAAAGTTAATTAATTTCTCAGGAAAAAAAATCACAAAGTTGAACGATCCATTTGTCTTTATGATTTTCCAACATTAGCTATGTTCCTTTAAAGTCCATGGTACAATCTTCTATTAAATGTGACACTTACCTGAATGTTATTCACTTTAAAATTATTTTCAGAATTGGAAAAAAAGGCTCTTCAGGATAGTGAAGCAACAGTGACTGAAGTCAACAAAATAAAATTCTATTCCCAAAAAGCTATGACTCAGACTGTAATTTTATGCATATAGCAAAGGAATAATTCATTCCAGTTCTTTCCCTGAAGTTATTATTTAAAAAAAAAACTGTAATCACTATGAAAATGTTTACACCAGTTATATAAAGTAGTTATCTGTTCCAAACATGAACACAGTTATTTCCACTCTTAATAGTAATGAAAGGTACTCAGTAAGGGAGGCATATTGTTTTAAAATTTAAAAACCTGCATTCTTTTGAAAGATAAGACTTCAGAGGACTTCGCCACCAAAAAAAGTATCTTGCTTTTCCTCTGGTGTATCATTCATGTTTCACAGTTACGCCATGGGGCTGCGGTAGATGATTTTACTTAGTTGCTCACCCACCTAAATATACCCACTTAAAAAGCAAAATAAAATAAAACCAACTCAAAACCCCTACAACTCAATCCTCTCTGAACTGTTCTATCATTAGTGCCCCATGTCTGCTTTGTTTACCATACGAGGCTCCCTGGTGCCTGGCACCCGGCAAGTATTTTCTTACAGGATAAATGATGTTGCTCTCTTCCAGATGCCCCTTCCTGCCAGCTCAAGTGCTGTTTCTCCTTTGACTCTGACATCCAGTTCAACAGCGAGTCCAATCAATTTCTCAGAGACACACTTTTAGTCTACAACTCTAAACCCAGAGTCTGTCACATAATCTCACAACAGGATTACCATGGAAGCTGAACTGATCCCATACACAGTAGCAAGAATTACTTTCATCATGCCACTTACATCTAATTGCTAATTGTGCAGATTATGTCACAAATCATAGGCATCCTGTAACTGGTGCCACCCTTAACTATGTCATTTTTTTCACAGGCTAACAATACTCTCCACTCCAGCCTACTTCTAACACCTTACTTGCCTTTTCATATCCTGACAAATAATACCCATTTTTGCTTTAAAATGCTGCCCAAAGTGGTCTCACCTAGGCTTAACTATTTATATCATGTTAACAAATACCCTTTTAAAATAACTTATAATATGGAAGATAGATTGCCATAAACTAGGGAATTCATTATATATGGACACACACACACACACACCACTGAAGGAGCAATTCTAAGAGAGTTTTCTTAGATAATGTAAATACCCAGATAAAACTAAGCTTCTTTAGAGCAGGAATTGTGTTTTTTGCTTCTGTATTTCTAGTGTCTACACCAATGTCTGGCACATAGCAGATGCTTCATAAATGTTTCTGAATGAATAAACAAACACTGAATGTGAATTCTTAGACATGAGCAAAATGTTTTCATGCAAGGAAAGCATACTCATAGTCATGCCAGAACTGAAAAAGAGAAATCTGCCAAGCATAGCTGCATATGAAAGGCAACTGTTTTGTGGAGATAATGCCACACAGAATTGCTAACACCACATATATCCCAGGTCTGGCCACTAACTTAAAATTTTCTATGAGCAAATTTCAATTTCAGCTGCTGAGAGAGCTGTCTGCCAGAGGAATGAACCATCAATTTGATAAATTCTGTTTGTAACTTTCACACTACAATACATTCATCCAACAAATCTTTAATTACATATCACAGGCTAAGTCTACACATACAGACATGAAAGACTGTCTTCAGGTACTTACAACCTAGCGAGGGAAGCAGTCATGCAAACCAGTAATTACAGCTAGGACACAGATATTCCTAAGGTACCACGGCAGTAGAGGTGGGGCCCTTAACTTATCTTGGAGGTGGGGACTGATGGAGAGGGGTTAGTAAAAGCTTCCTATATTAAACTGATTTTTGACATGGAACTAGAGTTAATTATAGGGAGAATTTCAGGTTGAAGAAAACAGGATGTAAAAAGCCAGAGGCTTGAAAGAGCATGGTCAGTATGGAGTCATTCTGGCTGGAGTACAGTGGGAAATG